AGAAGAAGAAGAAGAAGAAGAAGAAGAAGAAGAAGAAGAAGAAGAATAGAGAAGAGAGAAGAGAAAAAAGAGAAAAGAGAGAACAGAAAACAGGGAACAGGGAACAGAGAATAGAGAACAGAGAACAGAGAACAGAGAACAGAGAACAGAGAACAGGGAACAGAACAGAGAACAGAGAAGAACAGAGAACAGAGAAGGGCCTGGTGTCCTAGGGGGCTTCCAAGCCAACAAGGGTTATCCAATAGCGAATAAGTGGAGGTATTTGACCAGCCACACAATTATAAATTGGCTTATTTTCCAGTCAAAAAAGCAGTCACTCATTTTTGTGACAGCTATAATAATCAATGAAACTCACTTGTACATACTTCGTAGCCTGGTTAGTTATCTGAAATCCAAGCCAAAGGGGGTTGATTTGAAGACAAGAAAGACTTCAAGCACCTTGAAGGATTATGAAACTCCAAGATTATTATTGTCAGAAGACTTGGTTCTTATCAATTAAAAAGGCAATCAGAAAACGTATAATTCAATAAATGATAGGAGTTGGTTGGTTCTAATTATAAGAAGAAAGTCATAAAATTCCCAAGTTTTACACAGGGACCTACGCTACTACTGTTATTATTAATTTCCATTCTTACTATTATATTGTCGTATATAGCACATGCACATTACCTTGCCTGACACTAATAAATTCTGTAATGCGGGTATTGGTTCCAGGGCACAAATGAGAAAGTTGAAGCCCAGAGGTAAAGTGACTGGTGCAGCGTCCCTGAGCTCAGGGAACAGGAGGAGCATGGATGGCAAGCCAGGTGCATGCTTCCCCACTGTAGGAAGAGATGCTCACCAGGGAAGGCTGGGTCGGGTCGCGTAGCACAGCGTGGGCCCGCCTGGAGCAGATGCTACAAGGGCAGCTACTGAGCACAGTAGGCTCTGGATAGTAGGCACGGTGTGGCCCTGGGTTTCATGTGTGGGAAAGCCTCCCAACGCTGTGCCAGTCCTTAAAGGTCATGGCCTAGAGTACCCGCTCCCTCAGACCACAAGGCTGAAAGAAATCTCCAAACGAGTAGATTATCTCTAAACAGGTAAGAAACATGGCTCTAAAGCACCCCTAGGAGCTGTGACGAGCGAACTCTGCTCTTTATCTTACTTTATCTCTGCTGGGACAGTAGATGTGTGGAAGATTTGGCAATGAAGTTGTGCTGATGAATTAAGCACAACTACTAGGATCTGCGTACATCAGATGGGATGGTTTACAAGCCTTCTGCCATGACAAAACTCTGTGGTGAACACATCTTCATTCTATTTCAGATGACCTTCACTTTAAAATGAGAAAGCTAAGTCCCAGTGAGGTAGAGTCACTTAACCTACATGTCACAGGCTCTTTGGGGCAGAATCTATGTTGCTCACTGAAGTTCAGACTCCACTTGCGAAACCAGATTAATTAAAATAGACATCCAGGGTCTAGCCTGAAGGGGAAGAGAGTGAAAAGGGCAGCTTCAGTGTGGCTGCGGAAGGAAGTAAAACAGCCCTGAACTTGGCTGTCCTGAGAAGCCGGCACGATGGTCCTGAGCCCTGGTCTCCAGCCGGCCGCATCTCCCTTCTCTCCCTTCAGCCACTCTCCTAAATCACTGCCCAGCTGTCAGCCCTCTACCAGCGAAACATTTCCCAAAGTCTCTTCCATCAGTACAGAGTTTCTCAAACTTTAAAGTGAATATAAATCACATTGTCAGCCTGTTAAAATGCAAGTACTGCTTCCCAAGTTCTAGGCTCAGGCTGGGGCTCTGCCTTCTTCTTCTTCTTCTTCTTCTTTTTTTTTAATCATTTGTTTATGTATGTATTTATTTGGTACAGGGTCTCCCTATGCAGCTCAGGATTCCTAGTCATCCTCCTGTCTCAGCCTCCCCAGCACTGGGATTAGAGGCATGTGCCACCACATCCGGTTTCAGTGGCTGGCTCGGCACACGGTTGGCAGGGCATGCAGTACTGGGGATTGAACCCAAGTCCTTGCGCTTGCCAGTAGGCACTTAGACCACTGAGCTATCTCTCCAGCCCTGGGGCTGTGCCTTCTAAGAAGTCCCCAATAACACTGATACTGTTATATGGACCAGATCTCCAGTAGCAAGACATCAACTATATTGTACAATGAAAAGTGTTTGTGGGCAAAAAATTTTGAGAAAAACTGGAGTAAACAAGAGGTAACAGGTTTCGTTACCGCAGGACTTCTCAGGGCCTTTAAAACAGGGATCATTCATCTCCAAGAGGGAAAGATAATAAGAAAACCACAAAGGGCTGAACAAAGGATGAACAGTACAACCAGAAAGCTTTTTTTTTTTTGTGTGTGTGTGGAACTGGGGATTGAACTCAGGCCTTTGTGCTTGTTGCCAGGCAAGCACTTATTCTACTGAGCTGTCTCCCCAGCCCCTCAGAAAGCTTTGACATTGGGTTGTAGAGATAGAACAGAAAAGCAGGAATGTCACATGTGTTTTTCCCAGTTGCCTTGTTTTCAATATTTTCATATTCCAGCCTGTATTCCTTCCCAGTTCCTCCCTCCATTCCCCCGTTTTCTTCTTAGACACAGTGGTGCCTGCATCAGATCACACCCGGCCAACATCCCTGTGTTTCCCCACTCCCCTGTCCTAACTGGGACTAGTGACCCAGGATCCCCAGCAGGCGACAACAGCGAGTGGCACCCGCCAGAATACCTTTCGCACACGCGCACGGTCCAGGCGGCGATGATCCACAGCGAGATGCTGAACACCAGCAGCACGGTGCCCGGGCAGATGGTCATGAGCGTCTTCATGACGAAGCGCGTGTTGAAGTTGATCTTGTTGAGCGCCCCGATGCTTCGCGACGAGGCGTCGGTGAAGAGCTTGCTGTGCAGCAGCATGACGCGCGCGATCAGGTACAGGCGCAGGAACATGGGAATGGACAGGATGATGTCTACGTCGGCCTCGGCGCGCGACGGCGCGTAGGAAAAGGCCAGGCGTGCCGTCCAGAAGAACTTGTACTCGCCGGGGATGGGGTGGATGGCGCACACCAGCATCTCCAGGCTGATGTAGAGGATGCGCTCGTAGGTCATGGCTATCCGCCAGTCATCCGCGCCGTTGTCGATCACGAAGAGCTGTGGGGCAGAGGACCTGTTAGTGTGGCCAGGACTGGACGCGCAGCAGCACGCGGCGAGCAGGGCAGGCTGGGCGGGGTGATTGGCCTGAGCCTCAGGGCCTCCTCAGGGGAGCCCTGGCTGGCCCCAGCGTGGGGTGGGGGTGCGGAGCCCGGCTAAAACACATTCTCTTTCTGGACCTCACTTTTCTCTCTGGATATTGTGATTTATAATAAGGAATAATATATTTTGTATGGCCCTGATTTAGAACCTAGCAAGGAATAGGGTGGGATATGACTCAGGTTAGAGCCTTACTTAGATCAGGCGGAGCCCTGGGTTGGAGTTCTAGTCCTCCAACCCCTCAAATGCACCCAAATACACAGAACAGGGATTCCCAAAAAGTGTCTGTTGAATGCCAGTAAGGAGGCTGCTGGCTGGGCCTCTGGACAGCCTCAGGAACAGCTGAAGCCAGGAGAATAGGCTTTCACCCCACCACTGCCTCGTTGACTGTCAATGGTCAGTGATTTAATCAGTCATGCCTATGTAGTAAGGCCCAGAACACCCCAAAGGGCAGGATCTGGGGGGCTTGCAGAGTGTCAAACACATGGAGGTGCTGGAAGGTGGCACGCTCGGAGAGCGCATGGGAGCTCTGTGCCCCAGAGCACCCCATGCCCGGTGTACCTCAGTCTGCCTGCTGGTCAGCATCCTTAGAACGTCCTCTGTCACAGGCAGTAAGCATGCTCCCTGAACATTGTGAGCTGCTCTAGAAAAACAATGAGATCCAAAGAAGAAGTCATGGGACCCCTGACTTATATTCAATTGGTCGGAACCGTAAGTGGGGATTTCTGAGGTAAAGGCAGTGTGAGGTTGGCCCCTTAACCTATGGCACCTACTGCCAGCAGGAGCAGTATTAGAACTAGTTAAATTGTAGGGCAGCCAGTTGGTATTCCTTGGAGAACTCCATCCCCAAACCTTTATCTGAGGACCCAGGAGAGAAGCCCTGAATGCCGGACCTGTGGCTTCCGAGGGTAAAACAGGAGCCATCAAGGCATCAGCCTCATATCTGACACCAAAGGAGGCCCATGATGTGGGCGTTTGGTAAGGGCACGTTCCAGGCAACTCTGCAGCTGCCCAGGCAAGGGCAGCTGGTGAAAGGCCTAAGGACAACAACAGGCTCTAACGTTGCTGAGCCAGTTTCCCCTTCTGTCTGCCCTATGACTGTACAGAGCCATAGTGAGTGCTAAAGGGTTCCACAAGCAAAGAAAAAAAAAAGGTGGGAGGGTCCATAAGCTACCAAAGATCACTTATATGTTTGTTTATTCATTCATTCATTCATTCATTCATTCATTCATTCATTCATTCACAAATGTGTTGAAGGCCCTCTCCCTGCTGGAGAGGTGGGATTGGCAGTGGACCACAGTCCCCATGATAAGGAAGTACTATGGGAGCGGCTGGCTGCGGGGCCCAACCTCACCTTTCTGATTAGGGCACCAGCAGGAGAGCACGCCAGCCCAGCACCAGTGGCAGGCAGCCCTCCTCCTTTCCCAGTGCAGGAGCCTGGGTTTTCCCCTGTCAATTAGAGAGACCTAATGACCATGCCAAGGGTTCCCTCTGCCGCCTGGGAAGCCAAGCCATGGCAACGTGACTGTCTGGCCAGAGTCTTCAAACACAAAATTAAAACCATCCACCCTGTAATAAAGAATTACATCCAGTTACTATAGTAACTGGGTTCACTCCGGGAGGAACTCGAGCAACAAGCAACTGCTACCTTTAATTGCTCGATGGGGAGCAGCATCTTGTGCCATCCTAAGGAAGGACAGGATATCAGCAGCTCTGTCCAGCTTGACAAGAGGCCACGGTTCCAGGGCTGTGTCCCCACCTGCCTCAGTTTGAGTTTCCTGGCCCAGGGCATGGGGCACGACACAGGGAATGGACTCGGTGGCTTCCAAGCCAGGCTGATGTCTCCCCTGGCCAGCGCTTAGCTGACCTCTCAGGCCAGTGACTTCTCAGGGCCTGTCTCTCACTTCTGTCATGGGAGAATGAGAAGAAATATTTCAGGCCGAACACAAAAAGCTCCTGCTGGATAGGCCCCTACTAGAGTGCTTTTTGGGTCTGCAGAGTGGGGAGTTTCCCAGAAGGCTTCACAGCTGCCCCATATGAAGACACCTTTCTAATCCCTGGATCACAGCTCTCCAAATTAGGCCAGGCACCCTCAGACTCAGGACAGATAACAGATACCCATCCTGGCCATTTCCTGCAAGGAACAAAATTTAATTCCATATTTATTTGTCTTTACCAGGTTTTTATCTGTCTCTTCATTTAGACAAGCAGTTTTCAATCTGGTGGCCTCCTTGAATTAGTTGGAGGGTCTTTTTAAAAAATCTCCATTTTGATTTGATTTGAAACTGTCTCATTGCTATATGTTTATCAATAAAACTTTGAAAAGGAAAAAAAAAAAATCTCCATGTCCTTCAACTTTAAAAATCCCTGTGCACCAGGCCTGCTACACCGGCCCTGCCCCCGCCCCCAGGGCGTGCTGAGACTAGGTGTGGTGGTACACGCCTATAATCCCAGAACTTGGGAGGCTGTAAACAGGAGAATCACTGAGTCCAATCTAGTAGTGAGATCTTGAACATCCTACAGACCCTTCCCTAAAATACAAACAGTAAGTAAATAAAAAATAAAAATCTTCATGCAACTCAGAGCCTAGCTCAAAAAAAAGATACTGCTGGGGAGATAGCTCAGTAGAATAAGCACTTGTCTTGCCAGCCCAAGGACATGAGTTCACTCTCCAGTTCTGAAAAAAAAAAAAAAAATACAAAAAACTCCCAGGCCCACCTCAGACCAAGTATGTCTAGATCTCTGAGGGTGGTGCTCTGACACTGGGGTTTTTCTTAAGGCTCCATAGATTACCCTAAAGTATAACCAGGGTTAGGACTCTCCAATCACAGTGGAGGCCCCAAAGGAACGGGGCTGTGGGGTGTCCTTGTTCCCTGTGTTATCCCTAGTGCCTAGCCAAGAGTGCTGCCCATGGCAGGCATTCGGTAAATAGCGAATCAGCGACTACCCCTACTGTGTGACCCTAGATAGCTAATCTCTTAGGTTCTGTTTCCTCCTCTGAGGAATGGGAGGGCAGAGTAGACAATCCCCTCAGGGCCGCCCCTCTGAGGAGCCATACTTGGCTGGCTTTGCACAGGCTTCCTCTGACACCTCCCACCTGACGTGTGTTCTCTGTGCACAAGAGGCCCCCTGGGGTGGGACCCACGCCTGGCTCCTCCTGCCCCTGCAGGCCGTGGTATCTGGCATGCTGTGGGCAGTCAGTTGGATTTTGGTGAGTAGAGAGGTGGGAAGATAGATGTCTGTGTTAGATGAAGAACAGGACGGAGTAGCCCTAGCCAGCCACCTAGAATGGAAACTCCAGTAGAAAAGACCTGACAACTCATCTAGTGCCAAATGAAAGGACACCTCCTGTTCCCAGGGGGTGGTCCAATCTGCAATGACTGCTCCCCATGATTGATAAGACTCAGAAAGTTCTGAAGTGACTCTGGACCAGGGAGGTGAGGGTGGTTGTGTATGCAGTTCTGCAGAGAACCATCCAGGCTTTGGTCTCTGCCACCCAGCTGTTGTTCTAGAACAGCATGACTGTGACCTCAGAGGTATTTTGGAAAAGTACTGAGGTGCCAAGAAGAGAACACAGCATGGGGCAGGGAGTATCAGGGAGCCCTCAAAGAAAGCAGTCTCAAGGCCCAGGGCTGACAGCTATCTCTCTGACATGGCTTCTCTGAAGAAGACAGTTTCCCAGCAGCTTTATCCTTCTGCTTCCTCCGCTTCAGATGGCAACATCGTCAGCCTGAGATGTGGCACTCAACAGCAAGCCATGTGCTCCTGAGAGTCCCCTTTCCTCAGAGAGTACCCTGGATAGAGGTGGCTGAGAATGAATCTTTCTGCTACTTCACTGGGGTTTCTGAGAGCTTGTCGGATTTTCTGTGCATTAATATCATCCCAAGAGCTTTGGGAGGGAGGTTTTATACAACAGACTGATTCCAAATTTGCCATTAAGGAGTTTGTAATTAGGGGAAAGAATCAAACCCATTCAACTCAACTCGGCTCAATTCAGTAAAACAATCAGTTAGAACCAGCTAGGTTAGGACACTGCTGGGACACAAATATGAACAGAACACACATCCCACGATTCAGCTCGCAACCTCAAGCGGCCCTCAAATTGGAGAGGCAGGCTGAGGACCCACGCCAGGAAGCTTCCTGGGCAGGACAGGGCTTTGGCAGCACCCAAGGCAAGTGTCAGACACACTTGGTATGTAGCTCACTAAACTGGCCACAAATTCCTCCTACTGTCCACTTGCTCGTATATGTGTGACTTCATCTCGCCACATAGCAAGAGACACGGTCTATCTCCCGACACGAATCTGAACCTGCCCTGTGTTTTGACTTATGGGAAATTAGACAAGGTAATGCAGTGGAGCTTTGAAAAATGTCAATGTCATGGAACTTACTGTAGACACAGGGCCTCATTGTCCCTGTCACCCGGCCCATAGTGAATGCCAGCTGCCAGCCATTCAAGCAAGTCTGCCCCAGACCAGCTTCATGATAGGGCCTCCCACAGGTGAGACCAGGGAGTAAAATCATGGGTTTAAGATTTGTTATTATAAGTTATTAACTCCGGGGATCTTTGTTACACAGCAACACAAATCTATACCTAAAGTAATGCATCCACTTAGCACTTGTATAAGAAGCTGGGCAATGTGCCTGCCGTGTCTCCCATCTCATTCCACTTTAGATTTTCTGCCACAGCCCCTTTGAAGAAACCCATGCCTCGCCCCATTCCCATAGCTTATGGCCATCCATAGCCGGTCTTCCTCAAGTGGCTAGGTAACTGGATGGGGAAGGGACTGTGGCCAGGACCTTTCCAGTGTCCCCCACCTTCAGCCCACCCTATAAACACAACACGTCATTTCAGATATCAAAGAATAAGTCAAAGCACTTAAAAAATTATTGTGCAAGTA